TGGAGACAAGAGGATTGCCTGAGCCCAGGGGTTTGAGACCAGCCTGGGCAACTTGGCAAGACCTTATCTCTACAATAAATAAAAAAATTAACTGGGTGTGGTGATGTGTGCCTGTAGTTCCAACTACTTGGAAGGCTGAGGTGGAATGATTGCCCTGAGCCCAGCAGGTAGAGGCTGCAGGGGCCATGAGTGAGCCACTGCACTCCAGCCTGGGCAACAGTGAGTCTCTGACTCAAAAAAAAAAAAAAAAGAAAGATTTGTTCTCTGTAAAAGAACATGACAGAATTAACGAAGAAGGTGAGCTCCTCTTTCTTGGCAGGGAAAGGACATTCTCTGGGCAGTTTAAATCAGATTCAAATCCTTCCCGGAAGGGTCTCTTCAACCCACACCAGCTCAACCTCCAATATCCAAGGGGCTCCATTGCCACGTGCTTTGCCTCTAGATATTTCTCCCTGGATCAGTTCTGAAGACCTTTTTTACATACTTAAAGGGTAGCGGGTTCTGGGCTCGGAGGACCATGGAGGGTCTCAGGTGGACAGCTGAGTCCTTGACCCCCAACTCAACCTGTTGCCCTCCTCTCCACAGCGCTCACCGTCGCCACGCCTTTCCACTCCATCTACTTCGGCCTGTGCGGCTTCAACAGCACACTGGCATGCATCGCCGTGGGCGGCATGTTCTACGTCATCACCTGGCAGACGCACCTGCTGGCCATCACCTGTGGTAGGTCTCAACAGAGCATGCCCAGATCTGTCCCCATGGAGGAAACCTCTCAAGGATGGAAGGGCAGAATTGTTGCTTTATAAGATGGTTTTTATTGAGACCTGTTTTCAGGGGTTATTTAGCGATGAATGTATCCACGCTGTTCTCACTGAGTACACAGTGTTCAACTGTGTGAAGACAGTTGTTTCCAGTGAGGCTGCCTAGGTATTGTCACGGGCGGTCTCTTGTGACCACAGCTGACAGACAAAGCAGCTCTGATGTGAGTCTGTCCTCACACTTGGACCTGGGGGATGTCCATCCTACATGGTCAATGACCTCAGGCATCCAGATGTTGGCAACAGACCTCTGACAATCCCTGTGGATTCCATACTTGCTCAGAGTCCCAGGATACTTGACTGACTGCAACAAGGGCATCTATTTGTACATCCTTATCTTTGAACATCCTTTATTTCTTGATGTTACAGGAACGAAAATCAGATAAAATTCCTGTTGACCACGATATTTAAAACAGGCTCTGTTTTGGCCCAGTCAGAGACTCTGTAAACATTATCCACACAAACTTTTTTTTTTTGAGTCTCGGTTTCATTCTGTCATCCAGGCTGGAGTGCAGTGGCAGGATCATGACAATCATAGCTCATGGTAGCCTTGACCTCCTGGGCTCAGGTGATCCTCCCACCTCAGCCTCCCGAGTAGCTGGGACTACAGGTACCTGCCACTATGCCCAGCTGATTTTTTAGAAAACTTTTTGTAAGACAAGGTTTTGCTATGTTGCCCAGGCTAGTCTTGAACTCTTTGGCTTAAGCAATCCTCCAGCCTCCCAAAGTACTGGGATTACATGCGTGAGCCACCACGCCCAACTTATAAATTTATTTTTGAAATACATGTATAATAATAGTTTTCCAAATATTCTTTGCTAGGGAAGATGCTGCAAATGAGATATGGTCACATATTTGTGTCTTAAGATAGCTGGTAGGTGTATTCTCTTCTATATTTCATGACAGTTGCAACAAAGATGGAGAAGTCAAATTCTAAATTAGACATGAAGGGTAAAGTTGCTTTTTCTTTCCTTCTTTTAAAAATTATTTTCGGCTATCTCAAAAGCCTCAAACTAAAACCAGCATACTGCAATTAATAGCTGTCATGGGCTCATACCTATAATCCCAGTACTTTGGGAGGCCAAGAAGGAAGAATCACTTGAGGCCAGGAGTTCTAGAACAGCCTGGACAACACAGTGAAACCCCATCTCTACAAAAAAATTAGTCAGGCATAGTGGCACATGCCTGTAGTCCCAACTGCTCGGGAGGCTGAGGTGGAAGGATTGCCTGAGCCCAGGAGGTTGAGACTGCAGTGAACCATGATCATGCCACTGCACTCCAGACTGGGCAAGAGAGTGAGACTTTAACTCAAGAAAAAGAAAAGAAATAGGAACTGTCATATTGACCAAATAAAGGGCAGCCATTCACCCAGCACCTCCCCCAAAGTAGACACCCTAAGGATCTCATCTCCACCCTTGACGCCAACTCTCGACGGCTGATATTATTACCACTTTGCCAAAGAGGAATGTGTCAAGGAGCAAGACTAGGGCCAGGCAAGGGACGTGCCCAGGATGCAGCACTCATGGAGGTGCTGCTGGGGCCAGGCAGTGCTGACCCTGCCACATCCTGTGACCCTGAGCATGGGGACCACCTGAGATGTTGCAGCCCGTGCTCCACTCCTTCCCTTATTCCCAACCTTGTCACAGAGGCTAAGTGACTACCAAGTAGTGAAGGGCAGGGCGGGGCCTGAACTGAGTCTTTCCCACTCCAGACTCATGCCCTTGACTACCCCTCTCCTCCTGCCTGTGGCACCTCTCCCTGTCCCAGATGTCTCTGGTGACTCAAGGGCACTCCTGGGAAACTGAGTCATGGCACCACCAAGGAACCACAGATGGACTTGATGACTCCAGGAAATATGAGCACACCCTACCATGAAGGAATATAAGAACTCCAGCAGGTCGAGGCTGCAGTGCCCATGAGCATGCCACTGCACTCCAGCTTGGGCAACAGAGTGAGACTCCAACTCAAAAAAAAAAAAGAAAGAAAGAAAGAAAAGAAAATTCTGGAAGCATACAGATATGCGCTTTTAGGCCAAAAGTGAGAATGCAAACCGTGACCCACATATATGTTTTCAGAGGGTCAGTGAAAAGATGACTTCAGGTGAGGCCATCTAGAGAACCTGGACCACGTGGCCAGGGTGTCTGCATGCAGGGCCCAGGAGGCAAAGACAACAGGAAGGACTGGTGGCTCCTTTATCAGGCAGGGTGGCCCTGTTTGAAATACATGTCACAGTGAATATTTTAATTTAACTTAACTTTAATTTTGTAATAGGCAAACATTTTTCCATGACCTAAAACCAGACCTGTGCCCATGCTCTTCCAGAAAAATGTCTTGATGAAAAAATGCTAAACTTGCACAGATATCTTTAAAATATGCAGTCATGTATGTGACTACATTGGTTTGGACCTTATTCTATTTTTTTATAAAGTCTGAACACTAGCAAGGAAAAGTCAAGGAGTCCTAAAGACTTTTAAAGGATTCAGGGTCCAGACTGGACCTGCTCTAAGCTCTTTCAGTGGCCCACAAACTCCACCCCAGATCAGAGGTGACCCAGGTCAAGGCGTAGCTGCAACTTCTGTCCAGAGCCTCAGAGGTCAAACACGTCAGGGATACCAGAGGGGAAATGGCATTCAAGGAAATCTCTGGCTACCAACTCCAAGTTCTGCTTATTTACTAAGAAATATTCACATCCGACAAACAAGACTTCAATGCCCAATTTATATTGGATGTTACCCTGGTGGTTTTCAACCAGGAATAAGTCCCCCTTACCAAGGGACATCTGGCAACTCTGATAACATTTTTGTGTGCCATACCTGGGGAGTCTGGGGGGTATATTCCTGGCATCTAATGGGTAGAAGCCAGAGATGCTGTTAAACATCCCACAATGCACAGAACACACCCCACAACAAATAACTACCCCATCCAAAGTGTCACTGGTGCCATGACTGTGAAACCTTGATACAGGTCATCTCACTGAGTCCTCATTGCAACCGTGTAAAGAGTGTGGATGCTATTAACCTCATTTCACAGAGGGAAAACTGAGGCTACAGGAAGTTGAATATATGACTCAGAGTTTAGTCTGGCTGGCTGTAGATGGTTGTGCTCATGGAAAGCACTGAAGCCAGTGTTTGCTCTACCAGTGGAGAAATCCAGGTGCAGGACAGTTAGGCACCTTTTCGCCATCACACGTGTGGACAAGATGGGCCAGGTAGCCAGGCATCCCATCTGGAAGGTTTCTTCTACCACAGCCTGCTCAGCATGCTCCCTGGGGCAGACAGCTCTCCCTTGTTCCTGTTTCCTCTTCCTCCTGCTCACTCCCCTCTCTGCAGTCCCTAAGCCCCCCACGAGCACACACAGGTCTTCAGAGCATTTTCCTGCTGGCAAGAGACCAAGTCTGGAAAAGCAGCACTGGGAGGAATTGGAAGCATGAATTCCTTTGGCCCTGGGTCCTGGGGAAGACGGATGGAGTTGGGGTCTCCCACTCTGTGTAGGCCAAGCCCAGGGACCCATCCCAGCCTTAGGTTCCCTGTGATCTGAGGTCTCGATGGGACTCAGTCTGCCCCCTCTTGTCTGGCCTCAGCCCGAGAGGTTGGTTAGAAGTCCACCCCTGGAGCTGGGGGCTGGACTCTGCCACTAGTGAGCCATTGTCCCCCTGGGCAAGTCACCTGAATGCTCTATGCCTTACATGAGCCGGGCCCAACCCATAGGACTGTTGTCGGGATTGAATCAGATCATTCCTGGGCATGGTGAGAACAAGACTGGACACAGAGGGTTGCCCGGTAGGTATGGCCCCTCCTCTCTGTCAACAGCATATGTTAGTGAGGACGTAGTGGACACCTATGACAGCCTGGGCTCCACGTCCCTCACAGAGAGATCCGCTGTCTGGTGTGACCCACGCAGTCTGCTGGCCCACACCCCACTTCGAGAACTCATTCTGTAATTCTCTCTACTCTGTCTCCTTGAATCCCTGCCTCTAAAACAGTAGAGACTTCTCCCACTGAAGGACGGGCAGACGGTCATATGACTCACCCTCTAAGCCTCAGTTTTCTCATTCGTGAAATGGAGACAGTGATAGAGATTTAACCTGTAGGAATACAGATGGACATGGTCAGTATCACTGTTAGCCGGGCACACAGAGACTCTCTGATAAAGGTTGGCTCTTGTTAATATCCTACGGCAACGAGGAGGCTGTCAGGGAGAGACTGAGAGTGCAGAAGCAAAGACCAGCTATGCTGCCCTGCTTGACACTGTCTCCCCTTTAGCCAGCATGTGGTTTCCCCGGACCCAGCTTGGCCATGCCCTCCCTGGGGCCCATGAGACAGGCATGCAAGCAGTCTAGGTCCTCCCTAGAAGCCCATATTATGTTCATACCTTGTGATGAAACACTCCAGCGGGAAGTTCTGGGTTTCACTTGCCTTTGCCGTATAGTGAAATGTTCGTTTACGGTTTATGCTGTTAAATGTTCCTTTACTGGACTGCGAGGTGGAGGTCCCCAGGGAACCGGAACAGTTACATTCTGGTCCTTTTTAGCTAAGTTCATCTGGCTTGTTCACTGCACCAGCATTTGCAGGGAATCTCACACTTCTAAAACCACCCAGTGATGGAAATGTAACTCGATACTGGTTTCCACCTGAAAGTCAGCCTGTGTGGCATAAAATGTATGCGAATGTGGACTAAGCCTGGCTCCTGTTCAGCAGTCCTGGTCATTTCTTGTTGCTTCTTTTTCAGCACTGTTCGCCGCCTACCTGGGTGCTGCTCTGGCCAACATGCTGTCTGTGGTGAGTCACGGTGGGCCAAGACCATGCCCACAACACCCTTCTGGGGTCCTCTCAGCTGCCCAGGGCCTGCTCACACGCCTCCTCCAGGAACCCTCCCCAGTCTCTCCCCTTGTTTCAAATCACACTGCTCACCTCAGCACCTGCTAGACAGAAGGAGCCAGTCTCAAAAGTCTGTGTCAACTGTTAGTCAATCAACATCTGTTTCCATGGGCCAGAACTCCATAGAGAAGGACAGTTTGAAAGCATTCTGTTGGCCAGGCATGGTGGCTCACGCCTGTAATCCCAGCACTTTGAGAGGCCAAGGTGGGAGGATTGCTTGAGACTGAGACCAGCCTGGGCAATATAGAAAGACCCTGTCATTACAAGAAATTGAAAAATCAGACAGGTGTGATGGCACGTGCCTATAGTTCCAGCTACTTGGGAGGCTGAGGCAGGAGGATCCCTTGAGCCCAGGAGGTCGAGGCTGCAGTGAGCTGTGATCACACCACTGCACTCCAGCCTGGGCAATAGAGTGAGAACCTAGGTTAAAAAAAAAGAGAGAGAGAGAGCATTATTTTGTAACTCAAACCTCTGTCTATTGTGTTATCCTCTTGAACTATTTTTAAACCTTCAATAATTGTTTTGTGGTGCAATGGGAGGCAGCAGAGGCCAGGAGCAGAGGCTGCAGACAGGAAGGGAGCGAAGCCCCAGTCAGGACTGGTGGTTTCATGAGCAGGAGTGGCCGGGATGACCCCCTGCTTATTGGGCACCAGGCGGGACCTTCTGGGAGGTCAGGTGGAGCCACGGGATCAAGCTTGTATCTGATGCCGCCCCTGTCAGAGAAGGGCTCGAGGGCCAGGGATAGTCCTGGCAGGCAGGCAGTGGGCATTCTCACACATGTCTAAATCAATCTCCTCCTCACCTCTAGTGAAAATGAGTGGTTAGGATTTAGCATAGGGATGGATCTTCTTTCTTCTTTTTCTATTCTTTCTTTCTTTTCTTTTTTTTTTTTTTTTAGGGGGGACAGGGTCTCACTCTGTTGTCCAGGCTAGAGTGCAGTGCCATGATCATAGCTCTCTACAGCCTCAACCTCTTGGGCTCAGTTGATCCTCCCACCTCAGCCTCCTGAGTAGCTGGGACTACAGGTGCATACCACCATGCCCAGCCAATTTTTTTATAGAGACAAGGTCTTACTACGTTGCTGAGGCTGGTCTCAAACTCCTGGGCTCAAGCAATCCTCCCATCTCAGCCTCCCAAAGTGTTGAGATGACCAGCCTGAGCCACCATGCCTGGCCAGGAATTTATTTTCTAAGCAGAATGAGCCTTCCCTGATACCATCCTGTCTCCCCCAGTGGACTAAGTCCCCCTTCCACTGCATTTTGGCCCCCCCAGCTAAGTACTCAGCAGTGTTTTACGATAAGCATGGTCCCCATCAGTCCCCTTCCACCTTCAGCCAGTGTTCTACCTCAGAACAGGGGCCCTGTCATAGTCTTATCTCGATCTCTGACATCTGTTACAGTGCTCAGCACATAGGAGGCATTCAGGTAACCCTGAATGACACATACCCTAGGGTAGTGAGCCTCCACATGGGGTGTGTGAGGGTTAAGACTCAACAGCTGACGGTCAGGAACATGGAGGAGGGACAAGACGGTAGGGGTGGCCTCGGAGGCTCCTGCCTGCTCCAGGCTCTGCACCTGCCTTTCCCTGCACCCATTCACTCGGCCACCATCTACCCGGTGCATCCGGGCATGTGCCTTCCTTGGATGAGGTGCCAGGACAGATGCAAAACCAGAAGCTTTGGCTCCTGACCACAGCAGTTTGCAGTGATGCTGTCTCTTCCCTCTGTTTGCAAAGATGATGCCGCGCCACTTAGATTTTTCAAAGCAAAAGCGAATCTTCTTCCTAGGCACTTGCAGTGTTTAAGACACAGTGCTGACCACTGTCAGGGACACAGAAAAGCACAGGCTATTCACTCACCCCAAGAGAATGTCCAGTCTCACTGAGGAACAGGATTTTAAAATGCTGAGTGACATTTGTGGGACCACTCAAGCCCTCCCCAGAGGAGTTCTGAGGATCACACCCTCTGCTGGCTCACTGACACTGTGCTGCCCCGTGTCTCCCATGGTGCTGTCACCTACTTCATGACCATACACAGAGGACCATTTACTGAGTACTTAGTTTACACCAGGCGCCAACTCTCCAGTATGTATTAATATCCCCACTTTACTTCTGAAGTCTCAGAAATATAAAATGACCATAACTAGGTGGTCAGAGCTGAGACTCAGAGCTGGCTCTGTGGGACCCCAAACCCACAGCCTTTCCATGAAGGACACCTGGGGGTGAGAGATTCCCCAATGCCTTGAGCAGTCCCAGCAGGGCTGCTGCAAAACATGTGGAGTGGCATTTGTCACTCGTGGGTGGCCCTCACCCTGAGTTCTGGGACCAGGCAGTTGCTATTCCTCCCAAGACCCACCTAATGGCACCATCCCTGACACACATAGGCTGGCATCTTTCCTCCCATGGTGTGACTTGAGGTTTTTTCCTGCTTATAATCCGTAACTTGATCCACCTCACAATTGGATTTGTAGGCTTGTCATTAGTGAAGGATCCACTCAAGCTATCTCAAATGGGGCACAGCGAGGATTATTAACAAGCCTCAGGGCATCTCAAGGAATGAAATCCAGGCGGCCTCATGACAGGAGAGCTGGGGCTGGGAGAGCCCCTGAGGGAGAGGCAGCTTGGCCCCAACCCCAGCTCCCAGGAATGAGGATGTCACAACTTTGCCTCTCCCCATAAGCCACCTGCTTTTCCGTGTCTCTCAGGGATGGATCACTTCTGCACACAGCCCCCCACGGAGTCCTCAGCACTGGGTGACTCTCTGGTCATGTCCATCCAAGAGCCCCATGGACACAGTCTTGGTTCAGATTCTCAGGATAGGAATTCCACTGGCCCAGGTCACCTGTCTTGAGTCAGGCGCCTATCTCTAGTCCAAGCAGCTATGACCAAAAAGAAAAGGGTCCTAGGCCAGACTCAGTGGCTCAACCTGTAATCCCAGCACTCTGGGAGGCCCAAGTGAGGATTGCCCAAGCCCACAGGTTCGAGACCAGCCCAGGCAACTTGACGAGACCTCGGCTCTTCAATTAAAAAAAAAAAGTTAGCCAGGTGTGGTATTGCGTGCCTGTAGTTCTGGCTACTTGGAAGGCTGAGGTGGCAGGATCGCCGGAGCCCAGTGGGTCAATGCCAGGATGGCCATGATTGTGCCACTGCACTCTAGCCTGGGTGAGGGAATGAGACTCTACCAAAAAAAAAAAAGCAAAGAAAAGTGTCCTAATCTGCAAAATAGCTGCTGAAGACATTCCTCACAGGGGCCGGTGGGAGCCAGTTTGGGATGATCATAGTTCCTAGCGCTAATAGTGGGGTCTGGCCAGACACCCCGAGACTACAAGGTCCAACAATGAGGTCCACGAACCATCCTAGAAAGAGTGCTACAGACCTCATTGCTGGATATCACTGTGGTCACCTTTGAAGTCCTCCCCTGGGAAGCTATGCACCAATACTAACGCCTCCTCCACCCGTCAAAACAATTTTAGAACTCTTTTTTCTGGAATGGCCATCAAAGCTGTTGTCACAAGAATGTCGGAACTTGAATTAGAGCAATGAACAAATATTAGACTTCTTGTTAAACTTGGCAAGAGTGGAAGTGAAATCAGGGATATGTTAATCCAAGATTATGGGAATAATGCCATGGAGAAAATGGCAATGTACAAATGGATTAAACATTTTTCTGAGAGGACAGAAAGCATCACTGATGAAGAGAAGTCAGGACAGCCAATAACGAGCAGAATTGATGAAAACATTGCAAATATGCATTGACTTATCAGCTGACTGTGAAAAGCATAGCAGACCAAATAAACATTGATAGAGACACAGGAAAATCTTAATTGAAAATCTTGGCATGAGAAAGGTGTGTGCAGAAATGGTCCTGAAGGAGCTCTTGCATCACAACCATGCACCAGCTCACATAGTACTGTCTGTGGGGGATTTTTTTAGTCAGTAAACAAATAACTGTATTAGAACACTCTTCCTACTGACCTGATTTGGCCCCCAATGACTTTTTTCTTTAACCAAAGATAAAGGAAATATTGAAAAGAAGACATTTTGATGACATTCAGGACATCAAGGGTAATACGATGACAGCTCTGATAGCCATTCCAGTAAAAGAATTCAAAAATTGCTTTGATGAGTGGACTAGATGCTGGCATCAGTGCATAGCTTCCCAAGGGGAGTACTTCAAAGGTGACCATAGTGATATTCAACAATGAGGTCTGTAGCACTTTTCCTAGGGTGATTTCATGAACTTAACTGTCAGACAGCATAGACCTGCCTCCCACAAAAGGTGTATAATTGTGCCTTGATGGACCTCATGTGAAGGCACATGAGGATGCCTGCAGCTGCATTTTGAAGAGTGTGCCGCCCCTGTTACTACACACTGGCACTGTAGTAACTGTGCTTATATTGGTAATCAATAAAGTGTCTGTGTCCACGCCCCCAAACCCTCCCCTCCTCCGCCTGGTCCACAGGTGGGGAGGGGGAAGGGCCGACTGAGCCAACAGGCTCTTGTCATGACCAACTCTTGTCTGTGTCCCTCCTGCAGTTTGGACTGCCACCCTGCACCTGGCCCTTCTGCCTCTCTGCACTCACCTTCCTGCTCCTGACAACCAACAACCCTGCCATCTACAAGCTGCCACTCAGCAAAGTCACCTACCCGGAGGCCAACCGTGTCTACTACCTCACCCAGGAGAGACACAGGCGAGCATCCACCATCACCAAGTACCAGGCCTACGACATCTCCTAAGCCACCCTCTCCAAAACACGACACTGTAGATTCAGTCTCCAGGCTAAAGGCCACCTTCCCTTGGGTCTGTTCTGTGACTGTCCCCCAAGCACAGGAAGATACATGTGTCATCACCCTTCGGATCTCTCTGTTCTAAGACACACAGCACTTCTCAAAGACAGGGTTAGTTTAGACATTACACCCATTAGCTCCATCAGGGTTCCCTTTGAAGAGAACATGCCCTCTTCTGCAAAATAAGCCACATCCTTGAAGAGAAGTCACCAAGAAGGGGACAGAGCTTGGTGCCATGGTCCCCCAATTCAATCACTTCAGGTAGTACAGCACAGGGCCAGGAGCCATGCAACCTCTTAGAAGGCAGGAGGGCTGGCTCCACCCAGCTCTGCCGCTCACAAGATTCCTCCAGCTCAAGCCAGTCCTTCCCCACTCTCAGTCTCAATTTTGTAATCATGACAGGGAGGAACTCTAAAGTCCTTTCCACCTCAGAAGTGTTGATTGTTCTCTCTGTCTCCTGTAAACTGGTGAAATCAGCATGGCCAGCAAGTCATTCCCTTGACTCAAAGATAGAAGAAGGGGTACCTCAGAGGAGAGGATCCTTGGGTCCTGGGAAAAGATTTTTGTGTATGGGATTAGTGAATTTAGATTCACTGGGAATGCCCATGTGCCTTCCTTTACATAACAGAAATCTTTCTGTAAGCCTCATAAGATGAAAATTGATCCTCATCAACACTCGAATCATATTGCCAACAAATGTGTTTCCTTTTGTCATAGTCACAGTTATACTCTCATTAAACTGTTTAAGTTTGCAGGTTGGTGTCCAGGTTTATTAAAATGAGCACGCCTTCTTGTTCCCACCCTTGGGGGGTTCTCCATGGTCTAGCATGTGTCTGGGGGAGAGGCCAGAATAGACTAATTACTGTCAGAGGAGGGCTGGATCTGCTTATGAAGAGACTTGTACAGAAGTGGCCATGGGCATACTTTTCTGTATGAGAAAATAACCCACGCCCTTTCAGGGGATAGTCTTTTAGCTTTGTGCCCCCTAATGACAAACCAAGCCACCTTGAATGACCCATAGCTCCCCGCAATTTAGTCACTCCAGCCATAGCACTGAACTCTAACGCATACCCCCCTTTGTGGGACCCTACGTGGCCTGGCCTTCCACCCTTTTCCCAGAGGGGAAAGAACCTCTCGTAATGCCACAGTGCTCTCCCACACCACCCTCTAGTTTAGCATGATGAGGTAAAGAGGCTAGGGTGGGGGGCAGACCTTCTATAAATGCACTTTTCAGAAAGGAATTACATTTTATCAAATCCATCATTCAAAAGTAGCTGGTTTCTACATCTGTCTTGTCTTTTCTCTGCCTTCCCTGAGATTCCAGCCATCTTTGACCTGCCCAAGGGCTCCAGGCTGCGTAATTCTCATCCAGGTCCTGTCTAGCCCATTATGACTGCTCCAGGAAAATGGAGCTGTTTCCGATGGAAACAAAGCCTCCATGCAGGAAAGAGGAATGTGTCACACTCCAGAGGCTGCCTCTGAGTTTGTGATCACACCTTGAGGCCAAGAAGGTCTCGGGCTGAGTTTTAATGACTGTGGAATTACTGCCCTCTGAGGATTAAGCATCCAGGAATTTCACCAGGAGGCTGTTTATGCTCACAGCTCACGCAGCTGCCCCAGAACCTCCAAGTGATGACATAGAACTATTAAAGGACCCGTTTTCATGCATTTTCCACCAAAGTGTTATAATCTGGTTTTATTAAGAGCAGGAAACCCACCACGTGCATGCTGTTCTGGTTACTGACCACTCGTGAAGCCCTTCAGCTGTTCTGAGGGTTTCCATTTCCTCACCTGTAATGCAAGCTGAGTTGGTTTGGGATGCCAGGCAAAGTGAAAATAGGTGGGGTGAAAGATCGGGACCTATGAAACACATGATGTCTACGGGACACCAAGGTGGCTGGTCTAGTCTGGCACCCCAGTGACACCCCAAGAGTGGGGAGCTGCAGCAACTCCACCAGCTCCTCCATTTGATGACATCACACAGGTTGCTTTCCGTCGGCCATGGTGGAAGTCTTTGCACCACAGAAATCAGCAAACCCTACACATCTAGGCATGTGCAAAACAATGACAGCAAGCACACATACAAAGAAACAAACAAAAAGGTGTGTTGGTATGTGGGAAGGAAAGGAGAGTGTGGTATGAAAATACAAGGACAAACACACCCCTTACATTCCAGAGAGGGGCCTTGCACAGACCCATGAGGACACGCCAGGGACCAAGGCACACAATGAACTCAACTGTCAGAGAAAATCTAAAAATGGATGTAGCAGACTGCATGCTACATACACACACGCACAGTTGTTTTCATTGTTCTTTTTCCTTCATAGAACTAGCCCATCAGCGGTACACACCAGCTCCAAGAGATGGTTAGTTGAGTAATTGACTGAAATACCCCCCATGTCCCCAGCTCTCTCTCTTGACAGTGTTCACCCACTCCTACTGGCTGGGATTTGATATCCATTTCACACACAGCAACAACATATTTGTAGTAGACACACAGCCTCTCTGGCAGGACTGCTGACTCACTTCCAAAATGTAGGGCCTGTAGCTTCCTCCCAGACTGCATGAATAGTGTTCAGGGAATGAACTCTTCAGCGCGGGCACCCCATCCAGCCCCAAGCATCTCAGCATCTGAGGGGCAATAACACCAAACCTCTGCGAACATTCTTTTGCCACCACCCTTACAGAGGCTCTACAGTTAGACTCCAAACCACACAAGGACCTCAGGCTAGGCAGGTAGATGGTGGATGAGTAGTTCTCAGACTCAGTGTGTGTTAGAGTCACCTGGAGACCTTATTTCACATGGGTTGCTGGGCCCCATCCCCAGATTCCGTGGAGCTGAGTCAGGGCCTGGGAACTGGTATTTTCTAGCAAGGTCTCAGGTGATGCTGCTGCTCTGGGTCTCACACTTTAAGAATGGCAGCGTGGACTTAGAAGTGTGGTGCGCCTCCGTCCCACCCTACTCCTTCAACGCACATTGTAACGCACGATCTGGAAATCTTGTGTGTGTAAGAACCATCTGCAAGTCTTATCTTTTTTTTTTTTAGTCAGAGTTTCACTGTGTCACCGAGGTCGGAGTGCAGAGGCACACTCACGGCCACTGCAGCCTCGACCTGCTGGGCTCAGGCAATCCCTCTGCCTCAGCCTTCCAAGTAGCTGGAACCACAGTTGTGTGCCACCATGCCTGGCTAATATTTATGATTTATTGTTGAGACAAGGTCTCACCAAGTTGCCCAGTCTGGTCTTGAACCCCTGAGCTCAGGCAATCCTCTCACCTCAGCCTCCTAAAGTGCTGGGATGACAGGCATGAGTCATTGCACCTGGCTTGTAAGGTTTATCAAAACACAGATCCTTGGGTCTCAACGCCAAGAGTTCGATTCAGTAGATCTGGGTGGAGCCAATAATCTGTGTTTATTTAATCAATTAGCTTATTTATTTGAGTTAGAGTCTCACTCTGTCACCCAGGCTGGAGTGCAGTGGCACACTCACGGCCACCACAGCCTCGACCTGCTGGGTTCAGGCGATCCTTCCGCCTCAGCCTTCCAAGTAGAAGAATCTGGGTTTCTAACAAACTCTTGCATGCACAGTGGCTCCCGGCTCGTCTTCCAGATGCTGAGAGCACCTTGGTTCTGGCTGGATCAGCATCCCCTGACTCTGACACCAGGGCCTACCCCAGACCAATTCAGGCAGCAGGGGGCCTGGGCACAGGTGTTTTTGAAAACAACAATGTTGCTTGGGCTCCGACCTGTTTCCCATCAGTCACTCCCAGAGGTTGGTGAGAATTTGTCCCCATCTTCAGATCCCAGGGGGGTGTTTGATAAAGGGCATGGACCCGCCGTGGGGGGCAGGGGGGAAACTCTGGGTACCCGAAGGCAGGAGAAGCATGGATGGCACAGAGAATCCCAGAAAGAGGCTTGTCTCTTCCTCTATGTCACTGGGGGCCAGCCCTGTTGCCCAAAGGAGACTAGATTAAAAAAAAAAAAAAACACTAACCAGAAACATCCGGTTCAGGAGGCCTAGCTGGCAGGCAGGGTTTAGCTTTGCCCCGGAAGCCTGCTCAGGAGGCACCCGGCACTGAGAGGATGTGAGAGACCCGCGACCACGTGGCTCTGGGCAGGCACAACTGACTGGAGGGAAGAGGTGCGGTCACAGGAGAGGAGCAGCAGGTGTACGGCGTACGCAGGTAGGATGGGGTCCAGCACCACGCGGGTGGGGCCAGAAGGTGAAATAAGGAGGCCGGGACAGCTCCACTGACTGGCAACGGGCAGGCAGTGTGGAGGGAAAGGAGCCCGGTCTAGATGCTCTGACAGGAAGCCCTAGGCAGGCCGACACCTGAAGTCAGAGGAAAGGGGATAGGGAAGAGCAGACACAGAGCCCTCGAGGGAGCAGGCTGGCAGCCAGCTGGGGTCTCCACAGGAAGAGGGCAGAAAACAAGTGGCTTCAGTGGCCAGGGGAGGCTCCCAGTGAGGCCAGGACTGGGACAGGGACAGAGCGTGACTCTCACCCCTTTCCGCATCACACTTCTCAATCTGGGCCATGATGAGCCACCTGTCACCTGCAGTGAGGCCTTGGCTGTAAAGGCAGGAAGCAGTCTGGGGCTGGGAGGTGGGCAGTCAGGCAGCAGCGCATCCAGGTCACAGCCGGGCTAGTACCATCAGAACCCCTGGGGCAGCCCAGGCCTGAGGGGGTTCTGGAGATCCCAGGGGTGCCCAAGTGCAGCCGAAGCTGGACTCACGAGTGGAAGGTGTAGAGGGGTCGCAGGGGAAAGATTCTCTAGGGAGCTCTCAAGAGAAGGGGCCCCGGGCAGCACAATGTTGTCACATGGAGGGTGTCCCTGTCCCTGAGGTCGAGGTAGGTGGCCCGTACCCCTGTCCAGACTGGGATATGTGTGAGCTGTGCTCCTGACCACTGTGAAGACCTTGGAATCCTGCTCTGTCATCTGAGTGTCA